TATTTGTATTACAGATCTGTATTTGTAATCATTTTATGAACACTTTAATTCTAAACATTAAATGTCTTGATAACAAGTCAAATACATCAAAAGCAACAGCATCACACATAGTGGCAAAATACAATCAAAAACCTCCAGACATTTCATTCACAATCATCCTGCAATAAACAGCAGACTTTGACCTGGTTAATCTTTCACTACAGAATCACATTAGCTTCTAAATACCTCAGATTACCACTCACTTACAGAAGGCGTGTATTGGGTCGAATTGTTCTGTGACCTTCATTGCCCTGCACTGCAGAAAGACTCATTACTGTGAATGACACTGAATGGGATTACTGTTGAATGGTGGACTGCATCTTGCTGACTGCATGAGTCTAATTAAAAGTTTTTTTCCTCTAAAGGGCTTGTTTTGCTGGTTATTAAACAGATTTTGTGTTGAATCATTCATAATCTATACATGTATTCATGTACGCCAGGCCTCAAACATTTATGTCTGATTCATCAGATAGTTTAACATCAGAAGGTGTATAATAAACAATAACTTAATAAAAACAAACATAATTTACTATCATTAATGTCAACAGTTTTTCATTCTCATCACAAACAAAATATTTGTTGAAATGTCTGCCAGCCAGTCTTGCTTTGTTGAATGTTATAAAAATGGTTTACTTAGACTAATATAATTCATATTTTAGAGGGCTATGTATAAATAAACTTTTTCTTGAAAATTAATTGTCTTTTTATTCAGGCTCAAAACAAGCAGACAGGCATTTTTGCTGCTGCAAAGGTGATTGACACCAAAACTGAAGATGAGCTGGAGGACTACATGGTGGAGATCGACATCTTGGCATCATGTGACCATCACAATATTGTCAAGCTGCTTGATGCGTTTTACTACGAGAGCAAACTGTGGGTGAGTGTGGATTTAGTTTATGTTTTGTTGTTTCCTTGTTACACAGATTTTGTTCTGATTGTGTTTTCCACAGCAATAGTTTGGAATCTTACTTTAAAAATAATTTTTTTTGGCCTATCTTGTTTAACGTTAGTCTGCTTCATATTGCATGGTGACTAGATAATCACCCTTGTTTACTACAAGAAAAGACATGGGACAAAGGAATAGGAGACAACCCTGCTTGCGTTCTTGTTGACTTAAAGGGGTCATATGATGTTGCTAAAAAGAACATTATTT